AGGAGGAGGAGGAGGAGGAGGAGGAGGAGGAGGAAGAGGAGGAGGAGCTTAGTAGGATAGTTATTCTGGGGCAATACAGAGTTACAGGCCCAGTTCTGAGCAAATAATATGATTGGGGTCAATAATTTCTCCGCAAAGTCTCCATCTTCTCAGTGACCACATTCTCCAGGCTTCTTTGAGGAAAGCCAGGAGAGGTTAATACAAAAGCGACTGAAGTCTTACTAATTCAGGGAAGCCTCGCGTCCCCAAAGTTGCGTAAACTTTCCAAACAGAGGGCTTCCTTTTTTTAATAAATCCTTACATTTCCTTGGGTGTCTCTCGCTCACCTCCATTGGGGTGGATTCCCTCAACGTAATTCGTGGCTGCATCTATCTGCATTTTGGAGGCTTGAACCAAATTATCTCTCCAGCAACGGACATTGTGGTTGAAGTCCAGGATAGAAAACTGGTCATCGGATCGGAGGTCACCCAGGATGGTCTTCATAGCTTCCACAGTCTGAAACGTCAGATGAAATCAGATTAAAATTTTATAAACTTTTGCCCCTCACAGTCTGCCTCATTGGAAACATGGCTACTTTTTATGATCCCTGTTGTAAAATGTCAGCTATAATATGTGCGAAAATGGGAGGGAAAAAAAAATCTGAAATAGCCACAATGGAGGAATGATTGATGAAGACGGCCTCAATATTTAGCCCATATTGAGCGTTTCACAAAACATATTTAATCAACCCTTCCTCTCCTTCCATACTACAGATAGTCTTTGACTTACAACAGTTCATTTAGTGGCCATTCCAAGTTACAACGGCACTGAAAAAAGTGACTTACCACCCATTTTTCGCACTTGACCATTGCAGCATGCACACCCGTAGTAACGTGATCAAAATTTGAACGGTGGATAACTGGCCTGTATTTATGACGGTCGCAGTGTCCCGGGGTCACGTGATCCTCTTTTGTGACCTTCTAACAAACAATGTCCGTGGGGAAGCCATATTCACTTAAAAACCATGTTACTAGCTTAACTGCAGCGATTCATTTAGCAAGAACGGTTGTAAAACAGGGCAAAACTCACTTAGCAACTGTCTCACTTAGCAACGAAAATTTTGGGTTCAGTTGTGGTTGTAAGTCAAGGACTATCTGTATAAGTTGGGAGAGATATCCAGCTCTGGGCAAGACCGGGGCATCCCTGCCCTTTTTCTCACCCAGATCTTTTTTTACTGTGTTCCACACAACATATTTCATTAGGGCAGATAAAGACTTAGTATCGGTTAAATCCATTATGACATCACAATTATAACCCACCTACAATGTGATGATATACTTGCATCAAGGCATCTGATGCAGATATGGTTACCTCATTTGTGTGGCGGCATCACACAATGGTATCTTCATTTGGCCCCTTCCACAGATGCCTAAACTAGTGAC